GGTCTGAAGGTGATGGCAGCCAACCAACTGCTGAATGATCTTTGGACTGGAGAAGCATCTACACATTTCATTTTCTTTTTAGAGGGGCTGCCAGTGTGGGCACAGGGGAGAAGGGCAGGAGCTGGTGGCCCAAGAGAAGGGGAAAGAGGCCTTCTCCCCACCCTGACCCTGAACTCAGTCTGACCCAGCGACCTGGCAGCTGGGTTTCAGCAGGGGTGTGGGGGCGGGACTTTTCCCTCCCCACTTCTCCAGTAGACATCTGGCAACATCTGTAACATTTTGGGTAGAAAATGCAGAGGGGTGAGGCCAGGTTGCTAGGTGTGCTAGGATGTACATTACAGCGAGGAATCCTGAAGTCCACTGTTGACACCCCCTAGGTAGAGGTTCCCATGAGCCCTTCTCTCCTGAGTCCTCCACCTCCAAACTCCACCTCCTTCCTTCATTTCCAAGGGCCCCTGACAAAGCAGCCACAGCACACAAGCACTCCTAGCTACGCAAATAGCAGCTCCTTCTTCTCTGTTGTTTGCTCAGCCAATATTGACTCTGCGGCCTAACACTGGTGCTATTGAGCTGGGTTCTTCTCGATATTGTTTGAGCAGCATTAGCAGAGCCTGTGATAACCAACAGCGGAGCAGGAAGCCGCCATGCCTCCCCCGCCCTTGGGCCCCAACCCCCCCCCACCTCCTCCTCCGTGAGACGCTCCTGTAAAGACAGAGGAACCTAAGGCTGGTTCCTCTACAGAGCAAACACAAGAGGGGAGAGAGGGAGCATGCTCTCTGGCTCAGTCAACACTCCAGGGCAGTCACAGCAACTGGAGAGGTTACTAGAGGAGGCTGCCCTTTGGGGTGGGGCCAGTGAAAAATGAAGGGAAGGAAGACTCGGGCTACTGGCCAAACCCTGTAGTTGGCATCTATGGGAAAGGCCTGTGGGGACCGGTACACAAGGGCCCCGGGTGACTGAGCAGAGAATCAGCCAAGCATGACAGGTCAAGGCTGACTAGATGTCAATCTCTGTGGCTTAGTGGGAGGAGCCTGTGGACAACACCATGCAGACGCCATGTTTTAATGATGAAGATTTAGCAAACTCCCTCACTGTGGGCCTTTGTGGGCTTTTGCCGCCTCTGTGGGTTCTTACCTGAGAATAATTCCCCGCTCCGGAAAGAATGCTTTCGGCAGCTCTAACGTGGACTATGCCACCATTAAATATCCTCCATGGTCATTCCCGGAGAGGGGCCACAGTGACCTCCTTTCACATTTGGATGCAGGGATAGATGGTAGGGGCGTTCTGAGAGGCCAGCCTGTGGCAGTGCCCTGGATGGTATAAAAGAAGGCTGTGCCTCAGCCGGAAATGTAACTCAGCTGGTAGAATGTTTGCCCAACACCACGTAATGACGTTACGGTGGAGGCCACCTGTGACCCTGGCACTCTAGAGTCTTGGACAGGAAAATCAGGAGTACATAGTGAGTTCAAGGCGGGACACATGAGACCCTGCCTCAGGAAAGAGAAAGGGGGGACATATTCAGTGACACACACATAACTTCCAGTACCAAGTGAGAGCCTAGAAGCTCATGAAGCCAGCATGTAATCAAGGTCCAAATGAGATGTGATATGCATCTTGAAGATGACCACCTCTCATAAGGTTGAATCCAACTTCCCACACAGCAACCAGCCATCTTCACTGAGACCAGACAGGCCACAGGATGTCCAAGGACGAGGTAGCCACATGAGGTAACTAGGGTGGCTCTTCACTGCCCACACATAAAGCAAATTCAGGCTTAGCTGCACTTTTGGATGAGGGCCCACGGCATGTCTCTAGGTCAGTATTAAGGAGGTTGCCAGCATCATCGAGGGGACATTCTAAAAATTAGCTCCAGCCTGCCCCAGTGGCCTGGGAGCACCAAAATGGTCATTTGCTAAAATTGGCCATTAACATTTTTTACTAACTGCTCTCTCTAAAGACTTGGTAAATGAGGGGGAAATGCCTCAGAAATCAGCTATTATGTCGGCCCTTGTGACAACCTGGACTCCAAGCTTGGGAAGTTCTTTGTTGTAAAGAAAGAAAGAAAGAAAGAAAGAAAGAAAGAAAGAAAGAAAGAAAGGAGGAAAGAAAGGAGGAAAGAGAGAGAGAAAAGAAAAATACAGAGAGGGCATCTTCTGTGTGTGACTGTTTCTTCCAACAACAAAGCCGTCTTGGTTCCCCCACCAGCAGACACTGTAGCAAACACGCCCATCTTGTCAGTGACCTCTGCTCTGAGGAGCGCCCTCTCTTCTGCATGTTCCCTGTGGCCATGAACCATTCTTAGCCTCAGTTGTTGGAACAGAGGTGTTGCTTCGGTTCACTCTTAAGTGTTCCCCTAAAGCCCATGCGGTAAAGGGTTTGCTCCCCGGGATTCTATATGAAGGAATCGTGGAACCTTCAGGAAATGCAGCCTACCTGGAGGTCTGGACATCATTTGGGTGCATGCTCTGGAAGGGATTCGTGGAAGCCTGCCCTCTTCCTCTTTCCCTTCCCAGCACCCTGGCTTTGCAGTGAATGGCTCTGATATATTCTGCTGTGACGCTCTGCCTCGGCACTGCCCCAAAGCTACAGGACAAGCAGAAGCAGAACGAAACCCTCCAAAGCTGAGGGCAAAAATTAAACTTTCCTTCTTCATAACTGATTGCCTGTGGCATTATTACAGAGCAGAAAGTTGATTGACACAGATCAAGACCTTCACTGAAAAAAGGCACCCCATTGGTTAGCCATGGACCAACCAGATTCTTTTTCTAGGAATTTGGGTGCATTGTTTTGAGAGGCCATGCCCAGTTGAACTGATCATTTTTGGACCTAAAAAGGTGGAACAAAGAGAGCCAGTCTGTGGAGAAAAAGAGCAAACCTACTGAAATAAGCTTCAATAAATGAGAAGAGGCAGAGGGCGTGCCAAATGTCTGTTTCCTACCTCTGAGTCATCCCACCTCTGAGTGCAATGAGGTTCCCTAGACTGACTAACGAATTCACCATCAACTCAAGCTAAGTTCAGGGAGGGGCTGGGGATGTAGTGCAGCTGGCATAGTACCTGCCTAGCGTGCTTGAAGTCTTGGGTTCCATGCCAGCACCACATAACCCTGGCATGATGATATACACCTGTCATCCCAGGACTCAGGAAGTGGAGGCAGGAGGATCAGGAGTCCAAGGGCCTTTTCAACTACACATTGAGTTTGAGGCTACATGTCTAGAAAGGGTCTAAAACCTGAACAAAGTTTATTCTGTTTTTGGAAATCAAATGATTTTGAACCAACACTGCTAGGGAGACTTCTCCTATTTCTAGATTTTACTTAGCAATGCCGGGAGTCTCACACTCTGCTGGGACAGCAGAGGTCTCATCTGGGGCCTTCCTCCCCTGTTTGTTCTCTTCCATATGTAAGCTGTCTTCGCTGTGGTGTCATACGGAGTAGTAGCCATGCATGGACACCGGTAAGTGCACTGTGTAACCTAGACACCGTGTTCCACTTAGCAGTTTGTTTGCTCAGCCTACTTCAGCAAAGGCTGTTAGCCTATCGGTCAATAATTAGTCATTCCACAAACATTCACCAAACTAGAACCCAGCTCTAGCATAGACACATTAAGAAAACAAAGCTGCGGGCGCTGCAGAGAAGGCTCAGCCCTTAAGACCGCATATTGCTTCTGGAGACTCTCCAAGTTTGGCTCCCAGTCCACATCAGGTGACTCACAACCACCTGCAACTCTACCTCCTTGGAATCCCACACTCCTTTCTGGCCTCTGTACACACACGTGTAAACACATATGTGCCTGTACACGTATACATAAAATCAAAGTGAATCTTTTTTAAATTTGTAAAGGAAGGAAAAGAAAAGAAGGTGCTGGGAGCCCACCTATCCCTACACACACACTCGGAGGGTTACTCGCTTGCTCTTCCACACTCTCTCCAGCCTCCCTTTGGAAGATGCCACATATAGGGCCACAGGGTGACACCTCACGAGTGCCCAAGGCTCACCAAGGAGCCAGGCAGGATATGCAGCCACTACCCATCATACATAAGACTGGGCACTTCCCACTGCCTCCCCTGGTATCAGAGTTCTCCCACAGCACACTGGCCTTTTCCAGGGCATATAAAAGAGAAGACGCAGCAGACTCTCAGCCACCCTGCGGGAAGAAATAAATACAGGAGCCAGTGCTCAGCAGGTGGAAGGAGGACCGGAACGGGGAAGCCAAGCCTGGACCTCCTGTGTGCTCTTTCCAGCATCTTCTACGGAGCAGCTCTGGGTAGGGAGATTACAGGTGGGGCTTCAATGAGACTTGCGGACCGGAAAAAAATTAAAATTCTATTTTTAGATGACAATGTGAAGGAGCTCTGTTCCTGGGAATGGAAAGCAGCTCCCAGCACCCTGGCCACCAAAGTGCTCGCGGTCATTACAAGCCACCATCACAGGCTCTCTTTCCTTAGATGACCCCGCAAGGCCTGATAGGCAGATACTGCACAGAATCACATCGCAGTATGCTAAGAGGTACAGAATGCCCTACCAACTCGCTGGGCTTTGGTCAGTACTAACACTGAAGGTGTGAACTCTCGGAGGAGCCAAGCCTGGAAGTGGGCAACCCAGGGCTAGACCAAGAACCACTAAGTCCCCCAGAGGCCCAAATGCTACACTTCTTCTGTGACATCCTTAACATAGGACCCCAAAGTAGGTCCTAAAGCACCAACCACCATAGCTGGGCTTGAACGAGACAAATACTTTGTAGAAAAAGTAAAGAAATAAAATGCAAACAGGAAAAACAAAGACTCCTTTCCAACATCCTAGAAGGCGCATCAGCAGGTTCCTAGCTGCTGAGATGGTTTTCAACTCTACCTGTGACGGTCCTGTTAAATCAGATTGTGTTCCTAAAAACCAAAAAGTGGGGGGAAAGGAAGGAATGGGGAGGGGAGGGGAGAGGAGGGGAGGAGAGGAAGGAGAGAATTGTGGTGGCAGGAAGAAATGTACAGTCTCTGCCCCAGATGATGTGTGAGGACAGTCCCAGGGGGATTCAGCTAGGTCAAAGCGGCAGGTCAGGTTGGGCCTGGAGCATCACTGAAGGTCAAAGGACCTGTGGACTCTATCTCAGAGAAGGGGCATGGGAAGACTGGAAGGGACGGAGGACAAACCCAGCACAAGCTCAGTGCAATAGAAGAGGTTCAGCAGAGGTTGGGACCTGTCATCAAGACCTGACTTCAGGAAGACCCGTCCCCTTGAACCCTCCGGCTGGAAAGTGAGAACTGTGTACTCAGAGCCCATGAACTATGTATACGAACCTCTGCCAGGCAAGGCTGGGGCACAGGAAGGCCAGGCCAGATTTTCCACAGCCCCATTCTCTGACGACTGGTGGACAAGACAGGCAGGAAATGACCACCATTCAAAAACTGTAAGGGAACAAGGGGGTCAGGCCCAGAGAGCACGCCTGCTGGCGGGGTCAGAGGTCACATCTGCAGGGTAAGATGCAGCAACCAGGCACCAGTCCTGGCCTGCTAGGGACCACAGTTCATTCCGCTTCTGGGCCAACAGCTGTCCTGACTGGGGCAGAGGCAATAGCAAGGAACAGTTCTGAAGGCGTCTCTGGGCTTTCTCTAGAACCACATGAGGCTAAAGGATGGAAAGAATGGCCACTTCTGAGGCACGATCCGGGGCTCAGACATCGCCCTGCTCAAAGTTATTGGCTCATCCCCAACCCTCAGCATTGCCACATCAGTGAAGGACTAATCACCCCGGTGTCACAAATACAGAAGTGGGATGGCCCCCCATGTGCACAGGGGTGAGTGGATGCTGGTGACATGCTCTGAAGCTTTGTCCACCTGTGACTCTGTAGGATTCCATCTTTCTGCCTGTAAAATGAGTCCCCTTAGCCGAGCTGCTCACCCATGGGGAGAACAGCTGTCCTGCCCCTATTGTCCACCATGGGCAGGTGTGTTTCCCACGACCACCCTGGCAGAGGGCGGGGTTGGGGGAGATGACGGACAGACGGACGACTCTGGCTCACAGATGCGGCTTTGACCCAAGTTTCTCTGTGGTTCTGCCCATCACCACACAGACAAGACCAATCTGTTCTCAAGTGGACGCTGCCCTTGGCTTCACCTCTGTCCGCGCCAGGCCTGTGGGACAGGACAGGTGGAGACATGTCCGTGGCTGGTGGCTGGCTGTGGGAAGGCAGCAGAGAGGGGCTGGTCTCATTATTACTATTCAGGTCAAAACACTTCCCTGTGTTTAGACAATTACAGTCCATAATTAGTTGCCATCACAGAGGAACAAGCCCATCGTGGTTTCAAAATCACAGTGACTGCTTTATTTAGCGGAGACAACCACAGCCTGAAAGACCACTGGATTCTTAGCAGAGGGGGAGCCTGGGCTTTGGTCTCTCAGCCAGTTTCATGGGTACACGCCAACCCCACCCAACAGCTTGTGCAGGGCTTCATCTGAGTTCCCACACCTGTCCTCAACTTCATAGTTCATCCTGTCCCCCCAGGCTTTGCCCAAAGCCCTGCACCGTCCTTAGAGCCAAGCCTGGGAATGCCTCCTTCTCCAAGAGGGACACCCTGTCTAACCCAGCCCCGTTGCCTCCCTACCATCCTATCCCTACTGCCTATGCACTGAGAGTCCCACTTGTCGTTTAGAATGAAGGTCAGGGGAAAGAAAGGAGGGCTGTTGAACCGGAGGGTACACGATGGTCCACCATACCATCAGAGACGAGAAGGGAGCCAGAGAAGTTCAATGGAAATGTTTGGGCCGGGTCAGAGGGTCATGTCTGCTCAGGTGTATTGGGTAAATTGCTGAGCGACAGTAGGTTGGTACAGTGACCTGGGATAGATGGCTGTCTCAGCAATGTCAGGCTAGGGTGGTGCTCTCCTGTCAAAGGCCATAGGTTAGCCTGACAAAGTCAGGATTTCCAGGATGCAGAAGAAGAGGACAACACTGGACTCTAAAGTGCTAGGGACAGTCAGTAGCTACCCATCAAGGTTTCCTATCTCGTGGAGTAGCTCTGCTCAGTGTATTTCTTCCCTGTGGGCTTTTAATCGGGAATCTAAAAATGGTGTCAATCATTTAGGGCAGAGATAAGATGGGTACAGCCCCCCAGCCAGACTACCCTAGGAAGGCTGGGCACAGGTGGCCTTCAAGGAGAGCTCAGCAGAAGCTGGGGTTACAGGAGGTGCCTAAGAAAGACCTCTGCGGCCTTCCCTCCCAGCTTTGCCTTGTGAAGAGCCTCCTGCTCCAACCCAGTCCCCAAGACAGACACGTGCCTTAGTCAGGGTGTCTACTTTTGTGATAAAACACCACGACCCAAAGCAAACCGGGAAAGAAAGGGTTCATTAAGCTTACAAAGCTCAGGTCACACTCCATCAGCAATGGAAGTCATTGGCAGGAAGTCAAGGCAGGAATCTGGAGGCAGGAACTGAGGCGGAGGCCACGGAGGGATCTGCTCTATTGGCCTATTTTTCCTGGCCTGTTCAGCCCACTTCCTTGTAGCACCCAGGACCACCTGCCCAGGGTGACATCACCCACAGTGGCCTAGGCCCTCTCACATCACTCATCAATCTCACACCAATCATCAGTCAAGAGAATACCCCCACTGGCTTGCCCACAGGTCAATCCGATGGTGGAATTTTTCTCGCTTGGGGTGCCTTCTTCCCAAATGACTCCAGCTTGTGTCAAGCTGATGTAAGCCAGCACACACCCTTAACATTACAAAGTGACTTCATAAACTGGGCTTTCTGCTTTAGTCAGTGCAAGTAGCCATGACAAAAATACTATAGGCTGGGTGGTTTAAGCAAAAGAAGTTGATTTCTTCACAGTCCTAGAGGTTGGAAGTCCAAGCACAAAAATCCAGAATATTCTGTTGATGGCTGGTAGATGGTTGCCTTCCTTCTATACCTTCAGGTTCCTCTGTGCAAGGACACATGGAGAGGGCTGGGCCGTGAAGGATCTGAATTCAATCCCCAGAATACACACACACACCACTATATATATTGCCAGCCTACTGCATGGGTGAGTTCCAGGCCAGTGAGAGACTTTGTCTCAAAAATGCAAGGTACATGGAACTTGTAGCTAAGATACATAAACATACATCTGAGGAACTGCACCACAGACTAGACTCTGGCCCTTGTGGATACATGCACACATGCATACAATCATACCTGCACACATACAAAAATAAAAATAAAGAATTCTTGGAGAGAGCAAGAGAGAGTGAGAGGTAGAGAGAGAGAGAGAGAGAGAGAGAGAGAGAGAGAGAGAGAGAGAGAAGAATAGATTAGTTGATAGAGAGCAGAAATTGGTTGATTGGTTTTCTGGTGTCTCTATTATAAGAAGCCCAATCCCATCAGATCAGGCCCCATCCTGATGACCTCATTTCATTTTAATTATTTCTTTAGCATCCCTATCTCCAAATTCAATTGCAGTGGAGCTGAGGACTGTGACCTGTGAATTTTAAGGACCACATGAATACCCTCCCATAGGCATACCTACCTCTATCTTGTGATGGAGTCCTCACAGTTCTCCCAGCCAACAACATCCAAGAGCAGAGCTGTGATCCCACAGCAAGACCCTGAGGCACAGACAGCTCATCAGAGGCCATAGCCAATGTGGTAGCAGAGAAATAGCTCCCAGCCCTCTCAAGCTTTCCTGCCTCAGGCTTCTGTCCTCCTTCCTATTCCCTTGAGGTCCAGCTGTCAGCTGTTTGTCACAGACTCATTCCACCTGGACAAATGGATATGGCTTAAGACATTGATTGTCATTCAATGTTCCCAACTGAAGACAAGCATTGAGAAGCATGGCGGGTGAGTTCGGGCACCAATGTTTACCTCTGGTCTCAACTCCCGGTCTTGCAAAGTTCACGTTGAATGAACATGCCCTTATCCCAGCGTTCTCTGGTTCTGTAAAACACTTCTAAGGGAGAGACAGACAGACAGTCTATACACTGTTCATTGGGTTCTCTATAACAGCATAAGTCTGGAAGGAAGGAACCCAAACCACCTCCCCTCACCTGCAACGCAAGGCAGTGTGGCCAGCTGCCTCCCGCAGAAGTTCAGGCCAGGCGAGGGCTAATGGGGGCAGGGTCCCGTGAGAAGTTGAAGCAGCAAAGCTTAAGCCCATGGCAGCCAGGTGTGCCTCACCTGTTTGCCTAGGCAAGTGGGTGGAGCCCAAGTTCAACCCTGGGGCATGCTGGTAGTTATCCTTTCTCTGCAGGAGTTAGCTGGGGTTGACTTGGAAAGGAACAGATCTTTGGAGAAAGGGCTTGCTCACTGACGGTACCAAGGCCTAAGTTACCCAAAACCCTGAATGCAGAGGGATGACCAAGGTCCTCATAGGACTGCTGGTGGAACAGGCCAGCTTCCTCAGCTGTTAGTGCCCCCTAGCCAGTCACCCAGCCCCAGAGCTGCCTTCCTGAATTTACAGATCCTACACTGTGTCCTCGGGCTGCTCTCTGTAAACCTCATGGAGTGTTTACAGACTGACTGAGTGCAGCTCGTAGAGCAGAGGCAGAGACCTGAACTGAGAGATGAATCAATGAGCCAAGGAGAGAAACCACTGTGGCAGACCCTCAGCCACTACCAACCATTGAGTGTGCTCTCTCACAAGAGGGTAGTGAGAACCCACTATGTGTTGGCATAATGTTAAATGCTGGCATGGCATAGCAACCAGGACAACCATGGCCACCATGTCGGCATAGTCACACAACAGGAAGGGGAGACCTTGACCAAGCACAAGTCAGTTATTGTTATAGTTGACTTTGGAGGAGCTGACAAGATGGCCCAGGAAGTAACAGCACTTCGCCTGAAGCCAGACACCCTGAATTTGAACCCCAGGATGGTGGGAGGTGAGAAGTGACTCCACACACTCTCTTCTGGCCTCCACATGCACACTATGGTACAAGCAAGCCTATGTACATGTGTGCAAAACAGACAAATAAAACCCGAAGTTTAAAAAATAGAATTATGTCTACAGAGTCAGTCAAGATGCTATGACAGAGCATTCATCGGGAGCACTGCTTGTGGGAAAGACATGGAAGCTCACAGGGGGCAAAATGATATTTTAATGAAGACCTGGGAATGGACTGTAGCAAGGAGAGAGAAAAGTAGGAACAGAAAGGAGAAAGGAGGTAGCGTGGGACATTGCAGAAGACTGGAAGCAATGTAGTTAGAACTTAGAGTCCTACAGGTAGAGGAGCCTGGGGTGAGGCTGGAGGAGAAGCAGGGCTTCCCACCAGGAAAAACCAGCAGGTGGAGAACACGAGGGGAGTCTCGTCTCAGCAAGAGATGTCTCTGCCCTAGATCACGGCCTATGCCCTCTCTCTTGTAAAGAATGGCGCACATTGAGGCGTGTTCTTGCCTGCAATTCAAAACAGATTTACCCTCTGTTTCTAGCATTCCATGACGTACTGTGACATTCTCCCTCTCGGCTTCTCCTTTCACACGCACAGAAGTCACATTGGGTAGGTGTCTCTAGCCATGTTCTGCAGAGGAAGACACCGAGGCTCGGCAAAATTGACTAACATTGAGACTGGTGAGATGGATCAGTCAGCCAAGTGCTCACCATACAAGTGTGAGAGCCTGAGCTCAATCCTCAGAACCCACATAAAATAAAATAAAATATAGGGCAGAAACACGTGCCTCTAATTTCAGCAATGTGGGAGCAGACAAGAGGATTCCTGGGGCTTACTGGCCAGCCTGCCTAGCTCAGTCAGTGAGTTCCAGGCTCAATGAGAGACCCTGCCTTAAAAATTAAAGTGGGGATCAATAGAGGAAGACATCTGGCTAGCCTTCCAATGTGTGTGTGCGTGTGTGCTCACACGCACGCACACACGCACACACACACACACAAGCTAACTTGCCCAGAGATCACCTGCACAGTATTCTGTTCAAGGCCCCACAGTGAACCTCTGAAAAGACAAGGAAGATGGTGAGGCAGCCTTCAAAAGAGACAAGAGTGTGGAGAGCTACAAGCATGGTTGAGAATAACTAAGAAGGAAAAGCTCATGACAAACTCGTCCTCACAAAACCATGTGGGATGTGGCTGCTTTTCCTAATTTTCTGCGATAGATGAAGGTATAGAGTGATAAACAATAGACACAGGAATATCAATAGCTAGAATAATTGATCATTTCCCATAGTGCAAAAACCAAGCTGCTGACTTCAAGTCATTACAAGTGGCTCTGCCTAACTCCCGAGTCTAAAATTTAGTAGGCAATTGAATAAAAGGCTTACTCTTGTTGCACTTTATATAAATGCCCCCAAAAGTCACTGTGGTAAAGGTGTGCTCCCCAGTCTATCACTCTACCTACCTGCCTACCAAGGGGCAGCGGAGTCTTCAAGAGGTTGAGCCTAGTGAAAGGGAATTAGTCATAGAATAAGTAGCTTCCAGGAGACTTATGGGAACTCCATCTCCTCCTTTATCCTCATTGCTCCCTGGGTAGTGAGAGGGAAATAGAAAGCTCTGACACCTGCTCTCCATGTGACATCCTGCTTCAGCACAGGCTCAATGCCACCTGACCTACAAACTGCACAAGAAAACCTAAGAGACCATGAGCCAAATAAACTTTCCCTGCCAATAACTTGACAGTGCCAGGTATTGTATTCCAGCAACACAGATCTCTCAATTAGAAATGTTCAGTATTTTACTGTCCATTACAACACAAGTTTAAATGGTGAAAAATAAGAATATGACTGTGAAGGACTGGGGATATAGTTCAATTGGTAGAGTGTTTTCCTAATGTGCACAATTCCTGGGATAGAACCTATCCCCCCACCAAAACACCACATAAAAACAGCTAGGCATGATAATACATGCCTGTAATCCCAGAGTTCAGGAGGTAAAGGTTTGGGGATCGGAAGTTCAAGGCCATCTTAGCTACATTTCAAGTTTGAGGCCTGCCTGAGCTACATTAGACCTTATATCAAAAAAAGTATACACACACATATGAGACCATATACATAGTACCTTAGTTACTTTTCTATTTATGTGACAAAACACTCTGTCCAAGGCAACTTAGAAAAGAAAACATTTAATTTGGAGGTTCATGGTTCCAGAGGGCTGAAGCCCATGACCACCATAGTGGGGAGCAGAGCAGCAGGTAGGCAGGCATGACCCTGGAGCAATAGCTAAGAGCTAACATATGATCCACAAGCAGGAAGCACAGAGAGAAGGGGGTGGGGGAGGGATGGAGAAAGAGAGAGAGAAAGAGAGAGAGTGAACAGTGACATACCTCCTCCAACAAGGCCACACCGCCTAATCCTTTCCAAATAGTTCCACCAACTGTGGACCAAACATTCAAATATATGAGCCCATAAGGGTCATTCTCATTCAAATCACCATACACATACATATACATATACACATACACAACAGACACACACACATACCTATCTCAAACAATTGTATATTTGTGTACATATATGGATATAGACACACATGTATATGGCCTAGATCATAAATTCAACTATTCAATATGTACCATTTTCATCACTTTTGTTGACCCCATGCACAGTCTTGACCCCTGTCACCAGTTAGGCCCATGTCTTCACCCCATCAAGAATCCACAATCATTGCTGACATCCAAATACCAACATGGAGTCAAATCTGTCATGAAACATAGAAGACAGAAAGCTCATTTGGAGAGAACCTCTCCTCACAGACAGAGCAGAGGTATAGTCAAGCAGCCTGAGAGTGGGGCATACTTGACCTTGAAATGTGAAGTATGGAATGTGGAACGCCATTCATGCAGAATCCCGCCGACAGAACTTCTGCATAAAGTCTCTGGGAAACTATAATGTAAAAAAAAACTAACCCTCAACCCATGGCAAATTAGTCATTCAACGAATTGATCATTTGGGAAATTGGCTTTTAGCAAATTGATTTGGGGTGTCTAGGCCTCACTCCTGGAAGGCAATTCGGCAATCAATAGAGTGTGCAGAGCCTGGAAGATGGGCACTCCAGGGAAGTGGGCCTCTCCTGCAGCCTCCCTGGAAAGACCTCTGGACTCAGGCAGCAGGAACACAAGCTAGGGAACCTGAGAAGTCTAGAAAGGGCACTTCGGCCACTGGAAGGCTCCTGCCCACCCCAATCAGCTCTCAGAGTCCTACAGTGTAACTTCAGGAGCTTGAATCAGGACCTGTGCTGAGGTCTCCACAGCTGCAAACATATGAAGAAGGCTGAGGATCAGAAGTGAGAGACCATGGTCCTCCCGTCTTACAAGTGGAGTCAACAGGTCAGACTTGGGCCACCCTTGAGGCCCTCAATCATCCCCCACACCCAGGGGCCACTGCTAGCATCAGCAACTCCCCTTTCTGCCTGCCCTGTGACTCAACCAAGGCCATGCCCTCAGGAGAACCGACAGGAGCATCATCACATGCAGAATACAGGTTATGGGATTTAGTGTACGGATGAGGAAACTGAGGCTGGGCGTGCAGGTTGTAAGTAACCCCACTAACAGATTCCCAGGCATCCTGACTCTTTGGGAGATATATGCAAAAGCTTTTTTGGGTTTTTGGTTTTAGTTTTGTTTGAGACACGGTCTCGCATAGCCTGGAATGGCCTTGAGCTCACTATTGAGCCAAGGATAACCATGAATTTGCTCTCTTTGCCTCCACTTCCTGAATCCTGGGTTGACAGACATATGCCACCACGCACAGTTTACGAAGCGTTGACTATGGAACCCAAGGCTTTGTTCTTCTGGGCAACTATTATACCACCCAAGCTACAACCCAGCCATGTGCAGAAGCCTTTAAAAAACTTACATAAACGAATTTACACTAAAATATCTCCGCACTCTATATTTTTTACTTACTAAATTATGCTTTCTCCAACAACTACTGAAAAATACATTAGCACATATTATCATTAGCAATTATTTTTAATATATAACATAATTATGGTGCCTATGGTATAGAAATTCCTACTAAGGGGTATTTTAGTTGTTTTGTGGGGGTGTATCATGCATATAGCTCCCTAGAATATTTCCAAAAATTGGCCTCAGGGATTTTGTGGATCCCTCAATTTGCTAATACACCAGACAAGTTTTCCCATCCAAAATAACCAAACACAGCTAGTCCCTTTAAGTGAATCCAAGTTTCTGTTTTCGGGTTAGCCATTCTCCTCATTCACATACACACTACACACTACGCACGTGCATACATGCACACTCTCATATACACACATGCACACACATATGCACACAAGTACATACATACACATATGCACACTCACATACACCTACACACATGCACATGTAGACACACTCATATGCATGCGCGCACACACATATGCACGTATGCACACACATATGCGTGCACACATACAAACACACACGAGAGTTCACACCAGCCCTGGCTTTCTCTTGATCACTTCTGAGTTGAAGTTTGAACACTTGGTTGTCAAAGATCAGCCAAGGAGAGCCACAAATGCAAGCTGCATAAAAGCCACAAACTGAATGAAAAATTAGGATGGACTTTGTTTGGTTGTTTGTTTTTATTTATTCCATTTTTGTAATTAAATTGTGAATTTCTTGACATGAGCTTTGTAGATGACATCAAGTTATGATGTCAAAAAGTTGTCCATGTCTGTCTAGGCTGAAGTAGGCTTCCCAATCCAAATCACATACCCCCACAAACCAGAAATCTTAAACTTCAAGAATTGTTTGACCTCAGACAATTTACAAATAGCAGCAGAAAATGGACCCTGAAATCATTACTGAGCCATTAAACTTGTTAAGTACAATCGGTGAAACCAGGGACTCTCTACTACCTAGATCAGTGGTTCTCAACCTTCCTAATGCTGCAGCCCTTTAATACAGTTCCTCATGTTGTGGTGACCCCAACCATAAGATTATTTTCATTGCCAGTTCCTAACTACAATTTTTGCTACTGTTATGAATCTTAATGTAATATCTGTGCTTTCTGATGGCTTTAGGTGACCCCTGAGGGGTTGCGATCCATTGGTTGAGAATCACTGGCCTAGACTCTTTGCCTCACAAATCTGGGCCTCTGCAGAGATGCCTGCTGGTGGATGGGGGCTCCTGTGAGGAACCCTGCCCTTGAACAGGGCCCACCATACTCCTCCAGATTCTTGATAGAACCCAGAGCTGTTGCGATCACACAACAGGGCCACCGCTGGAACAACTGTGTGACTCTATAGTCTATCGGACTGGACACTGCCCTCGGGCTTCCTCCTACTCCAATGCTTGGCAAGTAAGAGCTCCCAAATCCTCTGGGTTCAACCTCCTTGGCTATGATAGAATAAAGAAACCTACCAACCCCATTGCTTTCACTCTGAAAAGGGATGAGGCAGGGGACACATTGAGTAACTGTGTCACAGAAACCCCACGAGGGGGTCCTCAGAATGTGGAACGGGGGGTCTAACAGGGATGACTGTGTTAGCCATTCACGAATGTGAGCAGCACATGGCTGACCAACGGACACCACAGACACAGCGTGGGAGATGCTGAGACCGGAGAGAAGACCCACTCCTCAGGCCTGCAACTAACACTCTCTGAGTCCCTCCTCTGAACCAGGCTTAAGATAGCCTTGAGGACACAAGCAGCATGGACACAGTGTCCCCTCCTTTCAGAGAGCCCACGGTGCAGCAGAAAGCTAGGAAAGCAGAGGCTGATGAGAGGACAGGGGGCCTCAGGGTCAGACAGGGGCTCTTTAGCCCATTTTTCTGGTTTTAATTAGAGATGTCCCCTGCAGGCACGGATGTCTATGTACTTGGTCCCCAGCTGGTGGCACCGCATGGGGGAGGTGTGGAAGCTTTAGGAGGCAAGGCCTAGCTGGAGGAGGCAGCTGCCTGGAAAGCAGGCATTGAAGGTGATACCCACTCTGGTTCTGGCCTACCCGCTCTGCCTCCTGACCCCCCTGAGCTATGTGGCGCTCCTGGGACGCGCTCCTGGAAACAGGAGCCAAAATAAATTCTTCCCTGAGTTATTTCTGTCATTGTAGTGAGGGGGCCTGCTTGTTGGGGCATCTGTCCCGCCCAGTACCCCACAGCAGGCAGGCCCCAAAGAAAAATCACACACAGGACTCCATAAGGTTATAAACTGATTGGCCCATTAGGTCAGGCTTCTTGTTAACTCTTATAACTTATATTAACCCATTATTCTGATCTATGTTAGCCATAATGGCTCCATACCTTTCTCAGCTGGGCAAGTTACATGCTGCCTCTTCGGTGATCTGTGCAGGAGTGGCGGAGGGACCTTCCTCCTCCATAGCCTTATTCTATTCTCATTGCCCCACCTCTACTTCCTGTCTGGTTGACCCGCCTATACTTCCTGCCTGGCCAATCAGCGTTTTATTAAAATACATGATTGACAGAATACAGATAATTCTCCCGCACCATGTCATGTATCAAGTTACAGGTGACCAGGAAAGTAACTAAGCTACCCAGAATTCCCCTGAAATTACAGAGACCAAGACAGGTCAGATGAAAGAACAACATGGCTGAAGCAGAGTTCAGGAAGGCATGTGTATGGTGTCTGAGCCCAGGCGTTTCTGGGAACTTAACTCTCCCCTTTGCTTGCTGGCTGTTATGTTACGGCCTGGTGTGTTCATGTCCTCTGATTGGTGATGAAGCCTCCACCGCAAAGGACAGAAGGGCTGGTCTTCCTGTGGTATATGGAGCGAAAGTAGTTTCTATTCCCCAGCCAAGCTCAGGGCCAGAGGAACGCACCACAGACGTCATGATGGGGGCAGGGGCCAGTGGGGAACTAAATCCCCGGGGACTTCTGAGAAGAAATAAAAAGCCCAAACACCAGCAGGAGTTGGGGGTGAAGCTGGTTCTGAGGCTCCTCCCTTCCTCCATGCCCACCGGTGCTGCCTTATGGCTGCTTCAAACGCAAAGCTCAGTACAGACACTTCCTGGTTCCATCTGGTAGCACTGTTTGGAGAGGCTCGAAGCCTTAGGGCCTAGCCTAGTACTGGGTCACAGAGGAGTCGGGGTGAAGGACTAAGGCAGTTAGTACACCTACTCAACCTCATCAACCAAGTCAGACACAGATGAGGCTGTGAGGGCAATGGGCAGAAATGCAGACACATTGCTCCCACATCCCCTTCTCCGGGCACACCAGCAAACGGTGAGTCTCACGTCACAAGTGGGAAAACTGAGTCTCATCTAAAGTAAGTTCATCCACGGGGATAAACCTAAGTATAGATCCTCCATCTCCATAAACAGGGACCTTCAGGTTGCTCTGTTGACCGTCAGACACAGTTGGTCCGTGCCCCCATCTGCACGGCTAAGGACCCTGATCTTTGCCTAAGTCAACTGCCTGTGTATCATTATTGTCAGATAACTGATGAGGCTGCCTCTGCTCTCCTCGCCCCAAGACAGAAGGGGGAATCCCAAGCATCTCAGAGTCTACCCCCAGCTCAGGTGGCATCCTCCCAACACGGCACAGATAACCTGCTGACCTGCCTGCTTCCCTTCCCCTCCCCTGCAGTAAGTGAGGCAGGAATACCACAGCCAAAGGCAAGCTCTTGCCACAAAGCCTTTCCACCTGCCCTACTCTGAACACTTAGCAAGGCATGACCATGGCACCGGGGTGACAGTTTGTCATTCTTTGCGAAAGGAAGGCATGCGTGAATGAGTGAGTGAACGGATCAGGAAAATTCCATCAATAGAGCACTTTCTGCTTCCTTGTCTTCACACTGCCTTTGAAGCCACCATCCCTCCTGATCCTCGTGATGCCTCTGTGATGGTAATATTCGAAGCCCTGCTTTGTACGGAGGGAAACTGAGGCCCAGAGAGATGGTTGGAATAGTCAGTCCTATTTCCATTCCCTTTCTGCCCGAGGGCTACTGCCTTCAGCTTAGCTGCCCAGTTCTGAAAGCAAGGGTGTTTGCCTTCATAGCACAGCAACATTGAGCCTCCCTAGATGCCTACTCTATGCCTAGAAGTCACTAGCGAGGCTAGGAGTGCTGGAAAATCCTTGGGGGAAAGGTAATCCCCACCAGCCAGTGAAAATCCACGCTACTCCAAATGGGTCTCGCACCTTTCCTAGGCTGGGTCATAATTTTCAGATTCCCACGAACTGGAAACTCCCGTTCATTGCTTCTCTCATTTGACTCACTCTGTGGGCAGAAAGAGCTGGAAGAGGTGACACACACAACTCACCCGTAAAAACAAAAGTTTCAGGCCAGAGAGACGGCTCAGTGAGCAAAGGGTCCTGCCACCAAGCCTGACAACCTGAGACCAATCTCCAGAACCCTCATGACGGAAGGAGAACGGACTCTCCAAAGTTACCCTCTGTCCTCTGCATGGGCCCTGGGGCTCACATCCGTGGACATGTGTGCACACACTCACACAATAAGCATATGTGATTTTAAAATGCTTGAGACTCCTTCAGTCCCTTTGAACGGCATAATTTTTCAAGTCAAACAGCTGCCAACTTCAAGAGTTCAACTGGATCTGCTTGCCAAAGACCATCATTCTAGGCCTATTCATTGCTGACATTCGCTCATAGAAGGGGTGACAGGAAGGGTCATGGGACCCTCGCCTGAGTGTTCCCGCCGTCCTCCATGCCTGTTGTATGCAGTTCTGCCCCACTTGCACTTAGCCTTGGGGTCTCAGGCAGAGGTTAGAGTCAGTTAAGGGTTAAGGGAAAGGTGTTCTACTTATGCAACTTTGGGGACGCCATCATGCATGCTGGGTAAGACTTCTCAGTGCAGCTGCATTGGGGTCACCAGCCATCCTGTCAGTAACCTCCACCCACGCTCTGTAAGTAAGTCCAGTAAATTCACTGGTTCCCCAGAGGGAACTTTGGTTAGTCACAGAGACTTTAGAAGGAGGCAGGTAGACAATGCTTAGTTCCCCCAACAAGGAGAAATTCTCACCACAGACTCCCCACACAGCAGGTCACTAGACAAATCTTAGCTGAACACCCACCCCTTCCTTGCCTGTTCCTCCTCTCTCCCATTCTGATGTGTGGCTGAGCTGGGAGCAGGGAGCCCTCCTCACCACTTCCCTCTTCCCTATCTCCGTCTTTCACCCTCCCAGGACATCTCTGTCTTCCCGTTTTCCTCACCTCCTCCTCTTCCCCTGAGTCAATGTGATAGTTCCTGTCTGTCCCCACACCTCCCCCAGGCTTGCCTTAGCCTGGACTCCAAGTCTCTTCATGACCAAACCCCACTCAGTCTTCGGTGTCACCTCTGCTTTGGTGTCTACTCTCCAGTCACTCCAAACACACCCAGCCACAGATGGGCCACTGTCCCCATGCCTGCCCACTTTTGTACCCTCTTGTGACCTGACCCTCTCTGCCCTTTTTCCGCCTGGGGAGTGGGGTCTCAGCCCTAAGTCAAAGAGGCCAGGTTGCAACCTCCAGCCCCCAACTCCTGCCCCACTCCCAGGCAGGGCCAGGCCCATTCCAGAAGCCCCATTAGAGTCAGTGCAGGCTTCTTACTTCCAAGTTTTATGCCCACCAATTGCCAGCCCCACAGGGATCATGTTCAATTCATCTCCATATGTCACCTCCCTGGTGGCCTCGCATCCTGCTGGGACTATAGAAATCACCAGAGGCAGGGTGAGCCTGATGACGTAACAGGACACTCAACAAGGACCGAAGGACGGCTCCAACGAGGCAAAAGGAGGAAAACACCAGCACCCTGTCTCAGGAGCCCTAAGGAGGTTACAGGCATCTGAGAGTCATTCAGGGCTTCTTAAGAGGCCTAATACTGGGGGATTAGCTCTGTGTACCCTGCTGAACTCTAGAGCTCAAGGGTGGAGCACTAGGAGCTGAAGACATTGAAGAGGTTTCCCTCCCTACCACACCCCCCAAGCATCCAAGGCTTGAGCCAAGACAGACAGACTGAAGGACTGAGGAAGACCTGGCTCTTCACTCAGTTCTGCCCAGGAGTGATCTTACAAAGAAGTTAGAGCCTCACGAGTTGGCCACTCTGGCAGGGAGGGGAGGAGGAGTCAAGGTAACTCCAAACAGAAGCATTCCTCTCACGGCACAGCTGAGTGTCAAGGAACAGTCCCCTGTTCCCATCCATCCCTGGGTGACCGCCTGACATTCTGGAGGACAGACCTCCTGCCCACGTGAGAGGACCCAGAGTCAGGAGGTGAAGAACGGTGGCCTATGGGAGGCAGAGAGGGAGTGTAGGAAACTTAGTGTCTTTGACAGCCTCTCTTACTAGAGCGCCAAGTAGGGCTAGAGGTGATGGACCTCACCTGACCTTGGTCTTGTACAATCTGGAGAAGTGTCAATACTGAGCACGCGCCAACACTAAAGGAAATCAAGCAGGTGGCGGGATTCCTGGCAGCACAGCATCCCTTCCCCAAGGCCGACATGCCTCCCTGCTCCTAACCCTCACCACGTTGATTTTGAGGAAAATCCAAGCCCCTGAGCCCCTGTCTACAGAGGGGAAACCGAAGCTTTGGGAGTGTCCCTTCAAAACAGAGCAGAAATAAAGCAGCTGGCTCCACTCCACCCCCAGCAGCATCTGTCCATGAAAACTGTTACTGTTGGGAGCCACCCTCTCCAACCTCCATCCTTCCCTTCCTCCCGAATCCAGAACATTGTGCAGAGGTGGAAGAAGGGCAGAAAGTGGGCAGAAGCGTGATGGTGAGATTCAAGGAGCTGGAGAGAAGAAGCCTTGGGGACAGCCTCCTCACTGCGTCAGGCAGCCTGGCTGTTGGTACACTGTGCCTCCACTAAGCTTTGTCCCGGCTCCTGCCTTGCCCTCCCAGGCTCAATGCAGGGCAATGAGATGCAGAGTTAGCCCAGAGAGAAAGCTCTCTCTCATGTCAGACCCACTCTTGAGAACCCATGGTGACCCACATCCCCGAAACCCTGGTGCCAAGCGCTCTCTGCACCCCACTGGCGGTAAGTCGGCTTCACGCAGCCGCTTGCCCACAACCACAGTGACACACACAGCAGCAGTCCTGAGCTCTCCCTGTTTACGACTGAGTGCCACCTCCCACGGCAGCAGCAGCACCTTCGCCCACACATGCCTGATGCCACCAAAACAGGCTGTCACGACAGAGACAGGCCTCTGGTGCCCTCTACTGTTTGGCACTCCTACACCATAGCTTGAGGATGGCACCCAGGCTGGCAGGGGAAGCTGGGGAATGTCACCTGTCCCCATTGGGTTGCCCCAGTTTATCACAGGCCCTCCAACCATTTTCCAAAAGGACCCAGAAAAAAAATTATGATGCCCCAGGGAGATCAGAATGCTGCAGGGTG